GGGGGGGAGGTATTTCCTAACTGGAGAATTGAGAGTTTTGTATCCGTCCAGCTCGCCCGTTTACCCTTCCCCCTGCCCCCTCATTGTACCCAGCCCTGCCTCGCCCTTCCCTGCGTGGTCCCCTCTGACAAGCCCGCTTTACTTTTCACGAGTTACCGAGGCGGGCGGGGGTCTTTGCGGAGATGCGATATCTTTTCGTAGAGTTGGGGGGGAAAAACGCTCTTTGGAAGCTTTCAGGCACAAACGCCCTTCATCAGGAGCAGGGCAGTTATCTGGTGGTGTGACATGGTCCTCCGAGGTAGGAAAGAAGCTAATTTACAACAGGCAGGTCCGTGCAAATGCAGATGAGTGGAAGTTGGGAAGGAGAGCTAGGAGGGGAGGGAAATGTGTAACGGCATGCACGGGTCAGCTGGACATGGGTTACCTGGGGTTGCCAGATGTCAGGCTGGTTATAACGCGCCATAAATCCAATGTCTATGTTTAGTCTGTCATTGTTTGTATTCAGCAGGTGGACAAAGTGAAGTTCGTGGGCTCGCCTGCGAAAGGTGTTTTGCAGACTCCCTTGGAGGATTAGAACGGAGAGAGCGGTTGTCTTCTGGGCTGTGCGCACCCACGGGGCCTCGGGGGGGTTGTCTTGGAGAGATGTAGTGTGCGTTTGTTGTGCTGCACGGTTGTCGTTCGGTGTCTCCTACATATTTTCCGTCCGGGCATTCGGTGCACGGGATGAGATGTATGATGTTTCTGGAGGTGCAGGTGTAAGGTCCAGGAATAGTGATGGTTAACAAAAGGAAGATCCAATTTGGGCACCGCTGGCTCAGCCTTCTGAGGGGGCCGTCACTCTCTGGCCATGTCTGGCGTCTCCGCCGGGTAAGGGCTGTCCCTGGGCACTGCCTGCACGTTGATTAGCACTGGGATGGCAGTCATTTTATCTGTCCATCCAATCTACCCATGCAACCGCTAATCTTATCTGTCTGTTCTTCCACCCATCTGCTGATATATCCATCGATCTCGTCCATTTACCCTTTCCTTCATTTTATCAATCCCCCGCCCCCGCTCTTGTCCATCCATCCATTGTATCCAGGGGTGGGCAGTTATCTGGGCTGTGGGGCCACTTGAGCAGCTTTGGCAGGCACAAGCGTGCCCCCGCAACACTGCCCTGACAGCCCCTGTTTCCTGTGCAGCTGCCGAAGGGGTGCCCTTGCCCCGCTTACTCACCTCTGGCCGCTGCTGCCATTTCATTTGGTTACAGGGTGCGATGCATATCAGGAGAGGGGGAGGGGGAAAACCTGCCTTTTTCTGCGGCAAATGCCTTGCACTGACTTAGTGGGGCTGGTTGCAGCCGTGTGGGTCTAAGGACATGGGCACACAAGTTTCTTTGGGTAGACATGATATCTCTTATTAGACCAACTCAGATAGTTGGGAAAGTTGTTCTTTGCAAGCTTTCAGGCACAAACACCCTTCTTCAGGGACAGGGAGACTCTGGTGACTTACCTACTTATCTGTTATGATTCAGGGTTGGTGTTCATCAGGAACTGGGGAGAACCAGGCCTCCGGCACTCGCATGTCTCTCCCGGTCACTTCTGTGTGGGCACCAATCTCTCGGTCCTAGGGGAGGGATGGACAGTGATTTGGTCCATGGGCCACATAGGGTGTGTCGTGGGCCAGGTCAGCACCCCACTGACCCTGTGCAACAGTTCACCAAAACTGCTGAAGTGGCTCTGCTCCGTGCTCAGCTGGGCAGCTGGGATGGAGCTGCGTCGGGG